TATCGTTCAACTCGAGTCAACTCGAGTCAACTCGAATCAAGTCGAGTTTAAATCGAGTCAAGTTAAATATTTAACTCAACTCGAATTTGGCTTGACTCGCAAATCATCGAGTCAAAAAAACACCAACTCGACTTGATTTGAACTTGACTCGGCTTATCTGACTTGTGAGTTAACTCGACTCGTTTGGAACTCTACTCATTCACAACAACCTTCTACATATGCCTACAGCTTTAGCTGCGTGTTCATCTCTCATGCACTTTATTTATGAAGAATCACAACATTTTTGGATTGATAGATATACTAGTCAATCTGCCATTGAGAAAGCTGCCAACATTAATCTTAAAGATAAAAAGGATAATTTCGTTTTTTCAGGTTTTGAACTTCCTCATAGTATTTCTACCAACAATAATAACGCTGATCCAATAAACATCATGGTGCAACTTGGATCACACTGAACGAATTTTTGGTGCAGTAGTAGCCATGCCCTCTCCTGTTTTACTTTTTCATTTAAATACTCAGAAGTAATAGTTTTAGCTTAGGTTAAAATTGATCTGAGAGAGTGCAGGATCGGTCTTCTATAGTCTAGTTTTTTCTTTTCTGTACAAGATTTTCATTTTTTCTTCTTGATATGTATTTTATTTTATATTATACTTTTATCATAATAAAGATTATGTAGAACTACCGCACTTTAAAAAAATAAAAAAAAATAAAAAAAAATATTTAATATAAATAATAATATAATAAACAATTATTAATTTATTTAATTAACTTTGTTATTTTTAATTTAACAATAATAAATTATTCAAGAAGAATGATTGGTTGACCTAAATTTTTATCAGATCAGATCAGATTAGGTTGACCTATTGACCTAATTTGACATTAATCTGAAAATCTATTGATTTGACCTAAATTTTCAGATTAGTTTAGGTCAAGTAAACAGGTTGATTTAACTTGATTTAGAATTCTAAATATACTTAAGATTGTTCATCTAAACTTATTTTAGATTTGGCAAAATGGCTAAGCTATAGTTTTACTAAATTTTTACTAAGATTTTGATATAGTTTTACCTTTTTCAGAATTTTGCAGATTTTTTAATAAGGTTTTAATATAATTTTACTAAATTTTACCTTTTTCTATTTAAACAACTTATAAAACCTTTATGTTTTGTCTAGTAACCTTAAATATACTTAAAAATACTTTAATAAAAGATTTAATAATAGTAATAATTTATATTTACTTTAACAAAAAAAAAATCTTTTAACTAATTTATCAGTTCTAATAATTCTTAATAATTAGAAAAAGTAAAAAAAGTAAATAATAAAAAAGAAGTTTAAATGTAATATATAGATTAATGAATTTTATTATAAAAATATAATATTGTAAAATGTTTTTTTAATTTTAAAATCTAAAATTTATCAAATACTACTAAAATCAAAATTGATTATTTTAATAAATAAATAAAATTTTAAAATTATTAGTTAAATTGTAATTTGTAATTATTATGCAAATTTAAATTAATATAACTATTAATTTGATATTATTAAATATATATTAATTTTTTTTCAAATAAAAAACAAAAAAAAAAAATTTAGAATAGAAAGAAAAAGAAAATATAAAAAAAAATAAAAAATAAGAAAATACTTGTTAAAAAAATAAAAAAAATGATTTTTGTACAATAATATAATATTTTTATAATAAAATATCTTACTACCTAATATATCTGCATCTCATAAAATACCTTTAGGTATAATTCAATTTTTAAATTGCTAAAATTGATATAGATTCAGAATATTTTAGATAGTACTATATGGTAGATAAATAATTATAATATAATTACTAATAGATAAAATTACTTTTTTAAGTTTATTTTGAATTTAACAAAACTTCTAAACTTTAGTTTCTATTAAGATTTTGATATAATTTTACATTTTTATAAACTTTGATATAATTTTATCTTTTTTTTAAATTTCACAGATTTTTTAATAAAGTTTTAATATAATTTACTAAATTTATTTTTTATTATTTAGATAAATAGTAAACTTTTAAATTTTATTAATAATCTTAAATATATTATTATTAAAAGAAAACTACTAAAAAAATCAATTTTATTTTTAGTATAAATATAATTATAATAATTGTTATATTTTTTAGTAATAATTTATATAAATTTTATTTTATATACTGATTATATATAATAATTTATTAAAAGAACTAATAAAAGTTTTTTTTAAAAAATGTAATAACTTTATATAATCTAAGTTAATAAAATAACTATTTTGTAATATTATAATTTAATATGAAATTGATTTTTTGAATTATAAATGATATAATATAATAATATAATTTAATATAAATATATATTTTATTAATAATAATTATAATTGAAGTAATTATTTTTGGCTGTAATATAAATTTTACCATTGGCTTTTAATTTTATAGAAAAGTATATATAATATAAATACTAAATGTTAAATATTATTAACTGTTATAAGAATACATGTAATAAATTTTACAAATACATTTATTTTTACTTTATATATTAAATATTATTTTTGGATTAAAATATATTCAAATTTAATGTTAACTTATTTTTTATTTTTATTAGCAATTTTTTTCTTTTTATTGTATATGATTATTTATTAAAAACAATAAAATTTAATAAATAAAATTTTTTTTTATTTTTGATTTTTTTATTGTATTATGAATAAAAAAATTATTAATAATTATAGTATTCGGATAATTTATATTAAAACTTGGCATGGTATTATAGATATTTTTATCAATTTTTCTATATATAATTTTATTCATCCAATAAAATTCGTCATTTACGAGTCCATGTTGATTTACCTACAAATTATAAATTGGACTTGAATCAATAAATATATCTTTTTTGTAATCATTTATAATATTTCTTTATAAGAAAATCAAACAATAATGAATGAAAGTAGTAATCCAGACCCAATATACCTTCTTAGAGATTTCAACTTACACAGAATAAATGTCGAGTTACTTGATGAGTCAGAAACAACGGTTTCAACAGTAAATGAAGCAAAGTTTATACAGTTTGGAACTCATAAATTTGATAAATCTACCACCACTTCTTTTCAAAGTAAAATTCACAAAGAGACTTATTATACACTAGACGCTTTATATCATGCCACCATTACAAGAAAATTACAACATACTGATTATTCACAAGATGCAACTCGACAGCAGATTCCAACTCGGTTGGCATATATGGATAGAAAAGATTGGCTTCCATTTGTAAATGGATTTGCTTTATTACCTGATGAGAATAACAAGCATAATAAAGAATCAATTACATCATCATTATCATCACTTTCTTCAAGTCGACACCATATCGAAAAACGTCGACAACCACCAACAGAAGGAACAGAAGAAGATTTAGAGCAGAAGCGAGTTAAAAGAAACGAATACCGAAAGAATTATGAAACGTTCTTAAAAGCGATCGCGCCAACTGAAATTGTAATATTTGAAGAGGACGTTATGTTTGAAGGTTTAGGTGATTATGCTTCTTGGGTTAAGTCAGCAGATGATTATTTTCTGAAACGATCTCATAGTTCTCCAAGTCAAGAACGTAATCCTGGTGAATCTTCGAGATCATCGCGTTCACATCACAAACGATCAAGAGGTCTTAAAGTTCCATTGATCCTTGTTCCGCCTTCATTCAACTCTTTTGTTTCAATGTATAATGTTAAACAATTGTTACAAGATCAGAAATTTGAACCGGGGTCATCAGTTCGTACATCTGGAGGGAAAATAGAACACAATTTATTAATTACACATAACGGGTCTCAATATGAAATAACGGATAATGCCAAATTGTTACGAGAATCAGATTGGGACCGTGTAATTTGTGTTATTACTGATGGTAACGAATGGGTCTTTAAAACGTACAAATGGAAAACACCTGAAAATACTTTCAATAATGTAGTTGGTGTGTATTTCAAGTATAATAACGAAATCACGCATCAGAAAGTGCAGAAATGGAAGGTTAACATTATCGAAATACATCCGGACATGCGGCATAAAGATGCCGAAGCATATATAGACTTCTGGACTTCTGTATTAAAAAAACAAAACGCTTGAATTTGATAATATTGGAGGTTTTTTTATTCGTTAATTTGATATGACTCTTATAGTCGCTTTATTAATAGTAATTTTTTGGTTATTTAAACATTGGTTATTAATTTCTTCAAAAAATTTCATTATCTCCTTTCAATTAACAAACATGTTTAGTTATTCCAATTTGATAATTAAACATTTAAGATTGCTCAAATTAGGTTGTTCTTTTTCTTTGATTTAAAAAAAAAAAGATAATAATAATAACTATTTGAAAATAATGAAATTTTACATAATCCAATTAATCATTAATTGTAAAAACGGCCAAAAATGGATAATGTTATAAATAAATCGTAAATGATGACTACAAATAGATTGTAATATTAAAAATAAAAACTTTAATGTAACACGCAAATGTGTCCTAGTGTATTTTAATTATCATATGGGGATTATTTCAATAAAAAGTGAATATAATGCCATAGAAAGATTTTATTTTTATAGTAAACTTTACCTTCTTGTGATTAAAAAATAAAATTCTTGAATTTTAATAACAAAAGTCGTGATTTCAGAAAATTAAAAAATATTTTATAATATCTAATAGTTTGTTTAAATATAGAGTTTCAAAACGAATCATATTTTTACTATTTAGAATTTACTTATTTTATAATTTTTACTTATTTTTTTAAATTTTTTTAATATTAAACATAATCTTTAAATATTAACTAATATTTTTTTTTTTTGCTTTTTTTTTATTAATTAATATTTTAAATTGTATTTTTATTTTATTTAACTAATGATCCTTCAGTCAATTAAGAAAAAATTACATATAAAATTATAATGCAGATAATATATCAAAATTTTATTTTTTAATTAGTTTACTTACAAATTTATAAAAATCATTTTTAATTATGATGATTTTTAAATAAAGATTAAAAAAAAATGTAATTAATTAGTGATTTTTAAAGATAAATAAATGATAAATTATTATTAAAAAAAAAGTTAAAATTTTAAATTTATGTCTTGCTATCTATTAATCTCAAAAGTATAAAAATACTATTATTTTATAAGTCTTAATAAGATAAATCCAATAAATTAAATTTTATTTTTAAATAATTATTATATATAGTCAACTCTCATTATAGTCATTTTTGTTATAATCATATTATCTTATATAATCACTCTAGTTAGACTAGATTTTTATTATATAAACTTACTGTTTATAATCACATTCTATCTATAATTATTATCACCTTAATTTCAAAAAATCTTATAATAAAAAATGTTCATTTATAATTATATAGTTATATAAAATATTTAGCATAAAAAAGAATTCTAAACAACTTTTATAATATTGCAAAGTTTTTTCTAATACATTTTTTTATTAAATATATATTAATTATATTAATCAATATTTTTAGATTTTGTTAGATTAATAATTAAAAATTATATAGTTTTCCTTATTTTTACATATATTTATAATAAATTTATAAATGTTAAAATATGCTTACTTTTGGTCAAATATAGATTAAGCTATAACTGTTGATCTTAAATATCATATAGAAATAATAAGTTTTGTTTAAAAAATATTTTTTTTAGCAAAAAATCAAAAAATAATTATAAAAAAAATTAAATATAAAATTAAAAAAAAAATAAAAAAAGAAAAAGGAATGATAATAATTAGAGAGCGTAATAAAGAATGTAATAGTTAAAGTAAAAAAATTTTCAGTTTATGATGGTATTTTGATATTAAATGATAAGAGAGAAATAGTTTGTAATAAGGTAGATCTTATATTAATTTACTTTTGAAATCATTATTAGAGTTCAACTAAATAAATCTTAAATTCTAAAATGTATTAAAGAAAAATTTAAGATTGTAAATTCTAATAAGTAGAATTAATTACTACAGTTTTTTGATTTAAAAATTAAGATAACTGAAAATAAACTTGATAACAATATTAATAGTATTAATAGATACTTTTAAAGAATAACTAATTGAAAATAATAAAAATGTATTAAAAAATTTAATAATAGTAAATGATATAATAAATCATGAAAATTATAGGTTAGTATCAGGTAATATATATATCCTATATTATATATTTATAAAATTATTATATGAATTAAATCAGAATTACATTATTTTTTATTAATAAACTTTGATTATACAAATTATAACTGTAAATATTTTCTTTTTTTTAAACTTTCTTTTATAACTATTTTATATTAAGATAAATTACTTTCCTTATATTATATATGATAAAGATAATAATAACAAAAATATTGATATTGTTAATGAATCTAATAATAGTTTATTTAAATATATATATACTAGACAAACTTTTACAAATTTTAAAATACTTGAAATATATTTAAAATGATATGTAAAGTAAATAAATTTTAAAATAAAAACAATAATATAAAAAAAAAATAATAGTTAGGTTAAAAAAATATATAAAAATCATTATAAAAACAAATATCAATCTAAGAAAAAAGTAAATTATACATATAATTGAAAATAAGAATCAGCTTATATTAAATGTAATTTTTAGTAAATGTAGTAAATTATAAATATTCAAATTTAGTGTTTATTAATAAATTTGTTAGTAAATAATATTTATTAGCTATTAAAAATCTTCAAAAAAAATAGTAATATTTAAGATGAAAATTCAGATGCAAATAGAAAAAGAAATAAAAGACAGTATTTTATTTATAAATTATGGTATCATGATTCATGAAATTATTCTGAAAAGAATAAAGAAATAGATATCAAGCAAAATAAAGAAAATTCTTAGTTGTTTAATATATTATGACTCAAATTACAGTAGTAATTCAAGCTTAGCTCCCTTCAATTATTAAGAAATGCTAAAAAATTATACTTTAAAACTAATTATTATGTATAATACATAATATTGCAATTTTTATTTAAAACTTTAAAATTTTATTTATTACAACGCTTAATATTTTATTGCAACAAAATTTTAATTAACAATTTTTACTTTTTTATTAAAAATTTACATGTTATATTAAAATTTATATAATCAATCATCATATAATAGGGGTAGGATTTGTATATTCTTGTATTAAAAAAATATTTTTATAAACTATTATATTTGTATTAAAGAATATTAGATTCAAATTTTCAAATAATGATAATATTAATGATCTTATTTTATACATAAATTCTAGAAACTCAACCTAAAAATAGTTTTATTATTTAAGATTAAACATTCTACTTATAAATAACTTGTTTTGAATTTAGAATTTAAAATAAATATAAATAGTTTTAAATTCAAAGTATGATCTTATTCATCTTATCATTTTTGATTATTTATAAATTATCTATCCAACTATAAAAGAGAATTTAAAACTTCTTCTGATTCTAAAACAAATAATATTTTTAGACATTAAATAGTATTTCTAAAAGGTGAATTATAGAAATCATATAATTATATATTCTTTAATCTATTTAGATTAAAATGGTAAACCAATTTTCTTTTATTATTAAAATAATTTCATGACTATATAACTATCATACTTTAAAATGAATCAGTTATAATCTTTTTATGTTAGATCTGACAAAGTATTATAAAAAAAAAAAAAAAAAATCACATATTTTAATGTCATTGTAGTATAAAACTTAACATTTATATTATTATTATTTTATAAGGCAGGTATTTCGGTGAAATCGTACAGTCTGAACCCTTTTCACTATTAAAATTTATTTGAACGCGCTTCTCCCACTTTTTTCGCGTTTTTGACAAGGAATTTTGCATTATTAGTGGTTTCCATTCGGGTTAATAGCTAATTAATATTCGCAAAATATTGCATGACCTACTGTTTTGATACCCGGGATGTTTATTTCTATAGACAAATATTATACCAGTGCTACATCATATTGAAATGAAATTATCTTTCCCTTTAATACATTTGACTCTTTAGATTTTGACTCACAACCGCCCTAAGAATTCCTTACACATTCAATAAATACTTTGATTTCAAAATCTAATATATATTTTAATAAGGTATGTTGACAACAAAGTGCTCGTATTTAGGTCATTTACTCTAATCATTTTTAATTTCTAGATACAATATTTTATTTTGATGATTATCAATTTTTTCATTACTTAAAGCAGAGAATCTGCAGTAAAGATCAAGAGAATTATTTAAAAAAATGTTTAATTAAAAATTATTAAAAGTACATTCAGAATTGGCGTAATCATTTTTTTTTTTTATCTTTCACATATTCGGTTTCGACTAAACCATTCTTAAAATCAATCATTGGGTATTAAATTACATTCAGAATTATCGTAATCATCTTTCATGTAGAATACATATTCGTTTTCGACTAAACCATTCTTAAAATCAATCATTGGGTATTAAATTACATTCAGAATTATCGTAATCATTTTTTTTTATCTTTCATGTAGATACATAGTCGTTTTCGACTAAACCATTCTTAAAATCAATCATTGGGTATTTGTTTTAACGAATGACCCCTCTCCCAAGAAAGATGTTAATTTTTTGCATAAAGAATGCTTCCAACATCAAAATAAAATTATTCATTAGAACCTCTAAACACTTATTAGTAAAAATAAAGCCAAGTTTAATTGATCATATAATATAAATAATAAATAAATAAAAAGCTATAAATATTATCAATATTATCTCACCGGTGAACCGATAAAATTTTGTGTACTGAAATTACGCATGACATGCGTATGCTGCGGATTCAACTCCGGGAAAAAAGGTATAAATAGGGAAATCGACTTTTCAATTTTTTTTTCATCAACTTTTTTTGTTTGCGATCGAGAAAAAAAAAAAAAATCAAGGGGGATTTTTCTCATATTATAAAAATAAAAAAAAAAAATAACGTTTCACCTTTTACCTTTACAACTGTCAATTTAGATTTATCACTCTAAATTCAAAAATGGATCAACCTTCATATCATAATGACCATAATGAAATTAATGGTCAAAATGATTTGTATTCCGGATCCATTAATAATGGATTGAATGATTGTTCCAATGTTAACAACATAAATCAAATGGAACAATCTTTAAATCCTCAAATACCTTGTAGTTGTGCAAATCTCCCGACTAGTAATAATAATATTTACGAAAATACTAGTAGCAATTATTCTATGAATAATCAAAATGGTACGCAAGGTGTTTCTCCAATCACCACACATATGCATGCCATCCCTTTAGCACAGCATTCTCTACCTACCTCTAAAATCCCTAAGAAATCGTCACAACAATTCTCGAAACATGATGATAATCCTCAAAATAATTATGCTGAACTCTTTAAGATTGAAATTAAAGGAATTGAAATTATCATTAGACAAAAATCTATACCGACATTAAATCAAAATTATTTTGAAATACAAAATCAACCGACACAAATGAACGAACATCAAAATCGAATGATGTATCCTTACCCTGATCAAAATTTTAGACATAATAATTACAATCGATTTGGTCCTCAACAATTTCAATATCATCCTTATTATTATTACCCTTGCCCACAGTACTGACTGACATCACAACAAAGTTCATATTCGTAGAATTTCTGCTGGTTGGGAATTTTTATCAATGTACAAATGTGCAAATTACTGATATAAATTAATCTATTTGTCATCTTTAATATTTAATACTTTTCATTATTTATAATATCTACGAAGGAACAATGAGAATATAAATTTAAATAAATTTTATTTGAACTCTCGTATTTGAGAGAAATTACACATAAATAAATAAGTAAACCTTATTTGTGAAATGATATCATAACCTTGAAGCTAAACCATTTTTATTTAATAATATGTAAATAAAAGTTAAAATATCTGCCGAGAGATCGCGCATTACAAAATTTAAACATGCAGGTTACATCCTACGGAAAAATCGTTGCAATGATTTGAAAATCATCGACTGTTTGATATTCCCGAGAAATCTGGATGGTCAGTAATACAAATAAATTTTATTTTTACCAATAGGAAAGCCCACGAATAATTGTATACCATTTTTAGACCGTAACAATGTTCTTCACATGCGTTGCCACAAACCATTCAGAATGTCCCATCACTACCTACCGGAGGCTCACCTGACTTAACCGCTTATTCTCTTCAGTCATACGAATTGTGATAATAGTGCTGAACTCTTCATTATATTTAGAAAAAAATCACCTTCGATTTTTACAGAATAAAAAGAAATCCGCCTAAACCAACAGAATGAGCAAGTCCCAACTTTATCAAATCGTACCTTAAGAACACAAAATAGGATGCATCCTTATCAAACTCCCGCCGAACAAAATTTAAGACATGATAAAACTATAAACAGAATAATTCTCAACACAATCATACGTTCATATTCTCGTTCTTCCACTGCATTGACACCACAATTAGATAAAACTTCTGATGGAAGTTCTGTAAATGCTACAAAAGTTCATAACAATCAATCCGCAGTATTTACGGATAATCCGGCCGAAGGTGATAATCAAAAGTTGTTCTAGTTGTGATCCATAGCTATTACTAGAATGGTACACGAAAATAAATTCGCGGTTTCCTATTCAGGATAAAATTAGCAATGTTAAATATATTCCGAAACAAGAAGGAATAAGCAATAAAAGATCTTTAAACTTTTTGATGGTATTGAAGGTAAAGATAAGATAAATTGTGTTAAAATCTTTCGATTTCAAAGTTTAATTGTAAAAGATATATCCAAAGTTTTGAAAGCGGGGGACTTGGTCTTGTTGCTATTAGCCTATTATCATAGCAAGTATAGCAAACAACTTACTGCGCCACGTATCTTCTCAGCTGTGAACACTTGCTCCATTATTACAGGATGGCATTTCTAAGAAAACTCGTTCAATCTCACGCTTTTCACTTTCCACTCTCTCATATCTTTCCTCGGTTCTTATCAAATGTGCCATCTTCGAGAATATTCCCAACAGCGTCGTTTGATCTTTTGAAACTTGAGGGTTTTTATTATTTAGATAAGACTCACTTCATTCCTAAAATAGAGGCTCTCGGTCCTGCCATCCTTTCCCTGCGTCCTCGTCGTTTCGGAAAGACATTATTCCTCTCTACTTTGTCCTCTTACTATGATGTAAAGAACAGAGAACGATTTAATCAATTATTCCAAGATTTGTATATCGGAAAAAATCCTACACCATTAGCGTCTGAGTTCCTCGTTCTCAATTTCAATTTTGCTGGACTTCGCACTAACGGATTGTACGAAATCTTTCAAGAGAACTTTCACAAAACTTTGAATATGAAGATTAAAAAGTTTATGCCCCGATATAAACAAGAATTAGGAAATAATCATTTCCGAATTGATGGCGAAAATGATGCTTTGGTGAATTTCAGGATGTTACTGGACGCGGTGGAATTGAGTGATAACAAGGTATTTGTCCCTCATTTAGTCATAATATCTATCCAAAAAGTACTAAGCTAATATTCTTATGTATTTTTAGCTCTATATTTGCATCGATGAATACGATGGTAGTATGAACGAAGCCCTTAAAAACAAAACACTCCATCATCACAAAATCGAATTAATTGAAAGTTCATTTAAACAATTCTTCAGTATATTGAAGACTGCTTGTGATGAAAACATAGCTCGTGTTTTCCTAACTGGTGTGACTCCTGTCGTTATGGCTGAATTCACCTCGGGTTTTAACATTTCGGTAGATTTGACGCTAGACGAAGAATTTTGGGACTTGTATGGATTCAAGAAATCGGAAATTAAGATTCTCTTGGATAAGGCTTTTGGAAATAATTTATCAGATAATATTAAAGAGCAAATAATGTCATGGTTAAAGGAGGAAAACGATGGGTATTTTTTTCACCGTGATCAACCTGAAGGGATTTTCAACACTGCACGTGTCTTGTACTGTATCGGGAAGTTGATGAACAAAAGAAAAAATTGGATTATAGACGGGATCCTTCTAACGTCCTTAATACACTTCTTAATTTCCCCCCCCCGACCCGCAAACATTGCCCGCTCTAACAACATTGGACTTAATTGTTAACAATTCCCTTGGAAAATCCATCCTTACTGAAGCACTCAATCGACGCCCTTTCAATTCTGCAAATGGCATAGAACAACGATTTCGACTCTCCAATATTCGCAAGCTAGCAACTGATCGTAGCCCGTTATTATCATTCATGTTCTATACTGGAGCCATCACATATCAACCAAACCCATCACCCGCATCGTTACAACACAATTTTCGAATACCAAATCGTATTGCCGAGAGGGAGTTTATCACAGAAGCGCTTAAGATTTATGACTGGAAAAAGGAGGATTTAACACCTGTACGGAATTGTTTGCAGATTTTGGAGGCAGAATATAACATTGAACCTCTTTGCCGATTTATAGAAAAAACTTTACTAAAGCCATTAAAGGACAATAGTGTTAAACATTCAAACGAAGAGACATTGAAACAAACTTTTATGGATACTTTAATTCTTACTCTTCACGCGGACATTGAGCCAGAATTTCAGGTGTTTCCTCAAAGCTCGAATTTTGGTGGAAAAGCAATTGATCTAGTGAAGACAAGTTCCGGAAAAATGATAGCAATCGAATTTGATAATATCAAGATGGAGAATGTTAAATTGGACGGAGCTCGAGGTAGTTGGCAGGAAGCAACTGAGGTTTCACGATCATTGTTGGAAAAATCAGAGGATGAAATTTTAAACCTTGAAATCAAAGATATATACCGGCCAAATCAAAAGACAGTTCGCGAAGCTTTGGAATCAAAGATTAAAAATAAAAGCAACGAGTATTTAGATCCGTTAAAAAAACAACACGATGCAGAGTTGAGCTGTAATTTTATTGTTTTGAGAGTAGGCTTGCATCGTCTAATTAGCAGCAGGGTTTATTGTGTTGATGAATAATTTGTAAAAATTAAACACAGGATTACAAAATAAGCTTATGGTTTTTTGATTTTGTGTATGCGCGTGTGGTGTGGGATGTATGATTTGTGTATCATCAGAAAAATAACATAAATACAATCATAATTTTTTATTCGAATTTGATACTTCACAATTTATATGCGGTTATACATTTTAAATACATTAACGGGTATGTATTATGTGAAAGTTATTATCATGCCATATTGCTTAATAATGTATAATTATTGTGACGTTTTCTAAGTAAAAGTTTTAAAAAGAGTAACTATCGCAATTTTCAGTTGCGTCAGATCAGTTATGTTACTCATGATGAATTTGGAAAATTTCTTTGCCGAGGTCAAGTTTGGCTTTGCTAAGTTTAATATTAGAGTATAAAGTCCCACTTGGTCAAATGTGTTTTAAATAAATCATGTCCTACATGAAAATTGTTATCGAATATGCAATCACAACTTGATTTTATTGAAATAGCATGAGCCTGAAGCCCTTGACATGCCTTCCAGATATGATTAATTTCTGTAACACGCCGTCCATCATCAAAAATCTGCTTGACAGCACGTTGGTACCCAAGCCCAAGACGTACAGCATGTTGAGTGTTTTCTGTATACACCATTCGAGATTGGATGCGTTGTTGTTTGTAGGATTTCCATCAATATGATTTACATATTCTTTCCTTCTTCTTTGAACAAAATGCTAATGCTACCAAGCGATGAACTAGATATCCCTTTCGAGCAACTTTTCGATAACCGATATGCAATGATGACACCATTGATATGATTAACATGGGGCTTATTCTCAGGGTTAGGGATAAATGCTCGTGCAACTAAAAATATTAACAGAATATTTTTATAAACATTATTAATTTTTAACCCTATTCGTGTATAACCTTGTATTTAACAGGAATTTAGCCTAAACATCATTTCTTTTATGTTCTTGATGCGTTCAAGATTGGAAACTAGCAAGTTTGAAGCAGTTGCTACTGCTAACCAAACTTCCATTATGATGTCTGTTATTTATTCATATCTACTTTTTAAATCAGTAAATAATAAAATTTCACACATACAGTTCTAAATTGGAGGAAAATCAAATTGCCTTTGAAGCATTGTCATGGTACCTTTTGACTACTAAAGGGTATATATAGGTTATGGTTTGCCATTATAAAAAGCATATATTGACGATATATCTAATTCACTAATTAATGATAAAATTTGTGTGTCTTTTAGATCAGAATAAACTACAGAGGCTAATCTTAGAAAAAGAAAGAAAAGGCAATAAAAATCTTTTAACTTTTTGATGGGATTAAAGGAGAAGATAAAATAAATTGTATTAGGTCTTTTGTGTCAACTATTTCAAGGTTAAACATAAAGGATATTAATTATGTAATTGCTAAAGTTTTAAAAGCGAGCTAGGTGTAAACACAGCTACTAAAATTTTTTCAGATTTACTTAAGTGTAATTATCTGTTTGCATTTTGCTGAATTTTTTTATGTTTTAGTATTATTAAATATAAAATAAGAGGAAAGATCAGCAAAATTGTAATCTTTTAGAATATTGTATTAGATAAAAAGGTTGATTAAACAATGATTTATAAGTTTAATAAGAGCTTTTCTAAAGCACTCTAATAACGTAATAAGATAGGTATTATTTAAATCATACTTTCATAACTTTTAGTTTAAAAATTAAATAAATATAAATAAGATGTAAGTGATGAGAAAGAGAGGAAATTTGCAGATATCTGCATATTAGATATCAAAAAAATTCTTTACATAAAAGCTCAAATGTTTAGCATTTTATTAAAAATCTTTAAAAGATTAGATGCTTTACTATTTAACAATAAAACAATAGTTACATATTATTCGTTAGCTGAAGAAAGTAACATTAGGTTATTATAAATCAAAAAGTTAATAGTTAAATGATTAATATGAAGATACCCATTTATCTAATATATTTTTATATTTGTAGATAAAATGTTACTTTTTTTTAACTTCATTTTCATTAATTAGAAGATTATATATATTAATATGATTATTTAAATATTTATATAGTATGATAATATATACAAATAAATAAACGTAAAGTTAATTATTTTCAAAGGATTATTAATATAATTATTTAAAAACCTATTGAATTTATATTTCTTTTTATAAATTTAGCATTGTATAGAATAGTATTTAATAAAAATTCTGTATTTAATATTATGAGATTAATAAAATAAAATAATAAACTGAAGGATTTCTATATAATAATAAAAGATAGTTAATAGAAATACTAATAAATCTAATGAATAAATAAAGCTAATTTGGTAAAAGAATATTAAGACATTTCATTTTGATCAAAGATTATCTAAATTTGTATAAAAATTTTTTGATTAGCATATAATTTAAAGAATATTATGAGTTAAGATAATTTATATTATCTTTTAGACATTATTATTGAAATATATGTTTTTATAGCTTTGATCATATAATCCTAAAACTGATTTCAGTATCTATTGAAAAATTATTGAATTTATATTATATTATTATTAATTAATCTCAGTAAACAATTATTGATAAAAGTATTCAATTTTTTGCAAAATTAAAATTAATAATTATTATCCATTTTAAATTGAATTTGAATGTAATCTTATTTAGTATTTTTTTTATTAAATTTTATATTCAAAAAGTTAGAAAAAATCATAATAATCACTTAATAATTGAAAATTATATTTTTTGAAGCAGTTGTATAATAATTTAATAAATTAAATGCAAAATCTATAGAAACTTATATAAAATCTATTCTTAATAAATAATAATTTATAATATAGATGAGAAAATTAATACGAGAGCTTTAGTATTTGAATGTAAAAATATTAAAAATAAAAAACCTTTATAAAGTATTAAAAACTTAAGATTATCTATAAAATTATATTTATAATTTATATTAGCATTAAAATCTTTTAATATAATCAGATAATAATCTTTTAGTAAAAGCATTTTGAATCCATTTAGTAAAAATTTGTTAAACTTTTTTTTTAATATTAATTAACTAGTGATTGATTACATAAAATTTTTATTTGTTTATAAATTGTAAATTTACGTAAATTAATTAACTGAATTTTAAATATAAGTTATTTTAAATAAAAATAAATTATATAAATTGACAAGCAATTAATCATTTTTATAAAATTTTTAAAATAGAGATATTGACTACCAGAAAATTTTTTTAAAGTAATAATTACCTTTTTTTATTTGATAATAATCAACGTAAAAATATTAATTCTTAGATTAGTAGAAAAAATTCTATTTCATAGTCTTTATTATTAGCTTCACTTAAAGAAATAATTTTAATATCTAATATTTATTTTATATTCTCTTCATAATATAGTTTAGAGTAATGGTCAAATCATCTAATTTTTCTACTAATTGTATAAAGCTATTCTTAATAAAATTTTTAAAGTTTTTATTATTATTTTTATTATGCATTAATATTTAAAGTCTTCATTTTAAAGTGGTGATAAATCAATTTTATTAGATTTAATAGTAGATATAAGTTTAAAAATATTTTTAGGATTATTATTTATAAAATCAAATGGTGGCTTATTATTAAAAATATAAAGGTTTTTAATTTTATTTATAAAAGTGATATTAGAATTGTATACTATATTAAGATTAGTTGTGAACTTTATAATTATTAAACTGTATAAATTAAAAATATTAATAAAGTTATTAGATATCACTATTAGTAAACATTTTATACTTTTAGAATAATCTTTAATTTAATAATATAATAATAAGTAAATAGCACATAATTTAGTTTTTAATTCAGTCTATTAAATATGTTTTTATTAATGATAAAGTTATTATTAAAAATAGTAGTTTCGTAATTATTTGCTAAAATAAAATAAAATATATATATAAAGATTTTAATAGTAGAGTGAATCTTTGATACTATATATACTATAGCTTTAACTATTAAACTAAGATTGAATAAATTTTTATTTATAGTAAAATAATAAAAACAGGTAAGTTTAGCTAAAATTTTAAAATATCTTTTTGTGAAAGATCACACATATAATAATAAACTATATTATTTAAGATAAAAACTCTATTAAGTATTTTTAAATTAATTTTATTATCAAAGATTATGATAGCTTATTATTACAAATTTTTTTTGTTTTATGATAAAATAAATAATTATTCTAAAACAGAAGAAGATCTTTTTAATTTTTAACATTATAGTATTTAATAGGATTTTTATTATCTTAATTGACTATTATAAAATATACTGATATTATGATATGATATTAAAGGATAAAAATATGTATTTTTTTAAATTAGAAAAATTAACTTGACAGAAAACATTTTTTTGATTTTTGTTAAAAAATATTATCTTTAAGATCTTTTTTAATTGATTTTTTAAATATTTTAATTATATGGGAGTGTTTCTAGGAAAATCAGGTTCCAAGAAATTTTTGACTAAAATTAAGAGCTTAATACATTTTAATCTAATAACAACAAAAACTAAAATGCAATAAAAATCTCAATTTCGCTAAAAAATTCCCAGAACTTGATTTTCCTAGCAATCAACCCATATCACTTTAGTAAAAATTATATTAATCAAAAATTAAATTAGTGAAACCAGTCATTTTTTGTTTAAATAATTTTCTAAATAATCACTAAAAGAGAGTATAACAAAAAAATTTGTTTTTTGATAAAAATTTCTTAAAAATTTTTTAAAGTTAAAAAATTTTAGAAACATTATTAGAATTATTAATATTTATAGTAGTAATTTAAAGTTAATAATAGTATTTATATTATTAACTAAAATTTTCTTTTCTTTTTTTTATTTAACGTAAGAGAATCAACTTCTATTTATAGAAATTTCTCTATTATTTTAGTTAAAAGTACTGTTTTCTTATAAAGTTTATAGCTTGTTAGATATTTTAATATTTACTTGATTATTATTATAACTCTAGTAAAGTAAGATATAAATAAATAATTTATTTTG